AATCCGCCAAGGGGGTTTGGGGAAATAATGAACATGACTCTCAGGTCGACGTGATTACAGTGGAGACCATAACATATCACGTGATTACAGTGGCTACCATAAAATATCACGTGATTACAGTGGATACCATAAAATATCACGTGATTACAGTGGATACCATACAATATCACGTGATTACAGTAGATACCATAGAATGTCACGTGATTACAGTGGATACCATACAATATCACGTGATTACAGTGGATACATTGAATATCACGTGATTACAGTGGATACCATACAATATCACGTGATTACAGTGGATACCATACAATATCACGTGATTACAGTGGATACCATAAAATGTCACGTGATTACAGTGGATACCATAAATGTCACGTGATTACATTGGATACCATACAATATCACGTGATTACTGTGGATACCATAAAATATCACGTGATTACAGTGGATACCATACAATATCATAGAAAGTCAAGGCCGCCGATGCTGACCACATCACTCATCGGGGGTCCAATGGTCTATCACAATATGAATGTGACGTCACATGCCCGATAGGCAATTGAGGTCAAACGAATCGTTTGCTGACTTAAAACATTTGCACACATTTCGGGTTCCAAACGTCGATTCGCTAGTTAGAAGGGAGAACAGCACCGCTTCGGCTCCCCATCAACTGAGAAAAACAAGGACGAAAAAAAAGTGCTAGATCTCTACAGGGATATAACAAACACATTGTGGGGATTTAAACCTGTTAATTCCTTTTTCTTTTAGGCTTTAACAGTCGCCCCCATGTAGGATGCAATTTGTGTTTGTTTTTTTGACGCCCCACCCTGGCTTCTTCCGGAGGCCCTGAATATAACAGGGGCATAGATATAGCCTAGTCATAGATATGACGTAACGGCTGAAAGGGGTTTTAGAGACCTCTCCACGGGTGATCCTCATTCGCATGTTGGCACTTTGTGTCACCGGGTGTTTATCGCTCGTGTGATGTCCTGGGGTGGGGGGGGAGGGGGGTACAACTACCTACCTACCTACCTACCCGTTAACTCGCATACAATCCCTACCCCCCCCCCCCCCCGCCTAAGGAAAAAAATGACCCTGGCGGGCACACTACATGAACACTCACACAATCAGACTTGTTGTCACATTGCTTGAAAAACATACATGAAGGCGGAGGAAAGCGTGCTGACAAATGGCTGCGATATTTCGCGGCATATGTACACAGGTTTGCAATAATTCATTCAGTGTTGGGTGTTTCATTTCTGACAGTTAATAATTTAAATCCCCTTTTGTTTCTTGTATTTCTAAAAATCATTACTTTTCACTATAGAAAAAGAATCATTTTCCGTTGTCTGTTTGTCTGTTCTCTGAGTTATCAAACGTGGCTCGTGAGAAAGAAACGTGAGCTTCAAAGGAAAAACCAGCAAAGTAAATGCTTTCTGAGATGCATGGTCGAGTGATTAGGACATCTAGGTCGGGAATGTTAAGCTGTGCACGTAGGATTTCTTTACCAACAAAGGACACACAAAGACACTGGTACAGCTGGCGGAGATAGACAGAGGAGATAGGAGATAGAAGATCTCTCCCACACGTGGACGCTCCAGACCCACTGCTCCCCTATCAAGCATTTCGTCAAAGTCGACTAATTAGGGGTGTCTTCTTTGGAGACAGAGTGCCTCTGCCTGGGAGGTCAGGAACCAACAGTCTGAATACAAATAAGTCAGATCTGTGAAACGAATATGCACGCAAACGCCAAGATCTGGAAAGAGAACAAAGTCCAGAAATAGATTAACAGTCCGAATATTTCTCTGGGTTTACAGACGGTGAACGCAAAGTAAAAGAAGAAGAAGAAGAAGAAGTAGAAGAAGAAGAAGAAGAAGAAGAAGAAGAAGAAGAAGAAGAAGAAGATTAAAAAGAAGAAGAAGAAGAAATGGATACCATTAATGTTACTGGGAAGTAAAGACGGCCGGCGTGATTTTGATCACATTACCAATCGTGTTTCGATTGACCAGTAACGTGTGGGACTAGCACCATATGCTAAATACGCCACTAGGAGTGAAAAGGGGCTCTTTTTACTTCAGGTACCTAGAGCTTGTTCTATCTCTGAGTGTCAGATTTGAAGAGGCATCTGCTCTAGCATCTCTTTGGTTTGTGCTACACAGATACTGGTATTCCCAGGCTTAACATTTCCATCTATCCATGGCTTACGTAGGCGCCCTTTGGCTTTTCTCAAATTTTTCCATTTTAATCACACACGCGCGCTCACACCAAATATGCGGATCCTAACGTGCGATCTTAAGCTATTATGGACGTACAAAAGTCAAGTAGTAATTTGCAATCCTTGCACACCTTAGAACCTTTGGCAACAGCTGCCAGGTATCACAACAGGTAGACATCAGTGTAGGGAAAAGATGTGTGGCTGAGCGTTGTTCAAGATTACCCAGATAGCGAAATTTATGCTTCGGCCAAATAACAAGTGGGAGCGCGGGAGTGCAGTGGA